TTATCTGGACCCATTTCAGTTTCATCCAAGAGTGCTTGGAGTTGTCCCGCCACCACCCGCTCCAACACATTGCCCAAAAACGGGATGTTGGCCACTGGTCTATAGTTAGTGGCCATCTCTGGATCCAGTGACGCCTTCTTCAGGACCAGTCGGACTACCGCCTCCTTTAAAGGGGCAGGTACCCGGCCATCCCTCAGAGAGGCCTTAACCACTTCCAAGATCCAGGTCCCTGTCCCGTGTTTGGCGTTGTTAATTAGCCAAGATGGGCAAGAGTCCAGTAGACAAGTGGTAGGACATACTTGTCCAAGCATCTTGTCAACATCATCAGGCCACAGTAACTGAAACTCATTCATCAATTTTGGACCAGACAGCGACATTGGTATCTCCCCAGAAGCCTCTGAGTCGCTAGTAGAGTCCAGCTTGTGACGAATCTGAGCGATTTTCTCCTTAAAATGCTTGGCAAAATCATCACAGCGGGCCTTCAAGGGTGGTACCGGATCTTTCTTAGGGCCAGGATGAACCAGCCCTTGTACCACCCGAAAAAGCTCCGCCGGACGACATTGTGAGGAGGCAATGGAAGTGGAGAAGAATTTCTTCTTCGCCGCCCTCACCGCCACAGCATAGGCCCGATAATGGGCTCTTAAGTGTGTTCGGTCAGATTCATCCCGTGAATTCCTCCACCTACGCTCTAGACGTCTCCCAACCCGTTTCATCGCCCACAATTCAGGTGTATACCAAGGGGAAGAGTGGGTTCTCCCCGGCGGGAGAGGATGCTTAGGAGCGATCGTGTCAATAGCCCTGGTCATTTCCCCATTCCCTAGCTCGACCAGAGCCTCGACAGGAGCACCAGTCTTGTCAGCCGGAAACTCCCCCAGGGCCTTCAGGAATCCATCCAGATCCATTCGGCTCCGGGGGCGGACCCACACAATCGGGTCCGCACCCTTACAGAGGGAAAAGCTGCTCTCGAGCACAAACCTCACGAGGAAGTGATCTGACCATGACAGGGGTGTTAGACACAAATTCCTCACCCTCAGACCACCCTCTTCCTGCCCCGTCGAGAAAACCAGGTCCAGAGTGTGTCCACGTTCATGGGCCTGTGACATGTTGAGACAGCCCCATGGCTGTCATGGAGGCCATGAAGTCCTGAGCTGCCCCGGTCAGACCAGTCTTGGCGTGGAGATTGAAGTACCCCAGGACCAACATCCTGGGGGTCCTCAACACCAGGTCTGAGACGATCTCCATCAGCTCAGGCAGGGAGCTGTTGGGCAGAAGGGTGCACGGTATACCAACAGAATCCCCAATCTGTCTTGGTCACCCAACACCAAGTAGAGGCACTTTATCCCTGGCCTCGAAGGGACTGGAAGCCCCATGAGTGAGGGAGATGGAGGCTCGGTAAACCAAAGCAACCCCCCCTCCCCTCCCCTCCAGGCGTGGACGGTGCTGAACTAGATACCCGGGCGGGCACATTTGAGAGAGGGTGACAACCCCCACCTCTCCCACCCAGGTCTCTGTTATGCAAGCCAGGTCGGCCCCCTCATCCACAATCAGGTCGTGGATGAGGGACGATTTATTGTGGACCGACCTGGCATTAAGCAGCAGCACCATCAGGCCTGGGAGGCGGTTGACAAGACTACCTGAAACCCTCTGGCTGGGGGTAAAACCAGAAGGAGGGACAGGTGTCAACCATCTTTCCCTCCTTCTACGCGGACACGTTAAACCCCCACCGCTGTAACGTCCATTGCCCACAACCACCCCAATGGTGGCGCCCATGTGCTCCCCAGGTAACCCAACCGCCGACATGGCCAGGAACAACTCCATAAAAACAAATTAAAATACAATAAAAATATTAAAACAGTATAAAACTCCCCGTCTACCCCTGATATAAAATTCCACCCACTGACAGAGTCTCTCGCCAGCCCAGACCCCGCATGGCCAAGAACGGCCACAAATGGTGGCGGCCGCCCTTCGGCCGCCAACCCCAGGCCATGACCGGCAAGTTAAGCCGGCACCCGCGCCCTGCCCCAGTCCAGCGTTGCTCTCACTGATGCTGGCCGGCAAGATGGCGGCGCCCTCCTCAGCCACGACGGTGGCCCAGCGTCTACGACCCCGGGATGGACCGGCGGTGGCCACGGAAGCGGCCTCAGCTGGCCCGTGGACCCGGCGGCGTGCCTGCCATCCAATTGGCAGGAATGCTAAGAGTTGTAGTTCTGGAGGCGCCATGTTGGAGAAATTATCCAAACACTTTCTTGCAAGTGTTTTCAGTTTTTCAAATCAGTGTTTATAATCTCTTTTGCCTGTTATCTGTTCTAGGTGCGTGCTGTCTACCCTGAGGGTGGTTGGTTTGAGGAGGGTATGAAATTGGAAGCCATTGACCCCTTGAATCTGGGCAACATTTGTGTGGCTACTATCCAGAAGGTAGGATTATCTGAGAAGAGAAAATGGTTTAGCTACATTAAACTACAACAGTCAAAAATCCTCTCCGTTTGTGTATGTACACTTCTAGCATCTTTTGCTTTTGAAGGAATAGGAAATTAGATGTCGGATTCATCGAGGAACTATTATGAAAGAAAAGGGGTATTGCTGTGGGAACTCCTGGTGTGCCATGCACAGAAATGAGAGATCGGAGTCCCTTTAGACAGTCTGTCCTAATGTGGCATACCAGATGCAAATATCCCCACACAATGAGGAACATGAGAATATTCCTATTTAATGAAAATGTAAGGGTCTGCTGTTTTATATCTTATACTGTTATTGTAGTGATGTTACAGTTTGGGCATATGCATGTTCAGATTTTATTTGCTGACTTGATTCCTCTTGTGAAAGAGAAGCAGTGACTACATGCTAGACAAATAGAGCTGAGAAAAGTAGTGAGGAAATTTGTCAAGCTTGGGCACTAGAAAGGATACAGATGCTTTTATCTACCTTGCTTTTCTCAAGCCAGGTTGGAAATGACTTCCATAGAATTCTGCAATGGATAAAACTTGGATGCAAACTTCATTTCCCTTCCCTTCTGTCCTCAGATCCTTTTAGATGGCTATCTCATGATTGGTATTGATGGCACAGCCTCCGAGGATGGCTCTGATTGGTTCTGTTACCACGCTTCCTTGCACTCCATTTTCCCAGCCGGTTTCTGCAAGAACAACAGTATTGAACTGACTCCTCCAAAAGGTGAAATTCCAAAAGAGCTTTCTCTTTGCCAGTCTTTTCACAGAAGCCAGCAAGCAGCACTTTCCCACGATACTACAGGAAGAAAATATTAAAATATAACTGAACCCTGTAGATTATTTTTTCTTCTTTGTCATCAAGATCTTAGTGAAGGATGGAACTGAATGTATTGATCCTCCCTGTCTAGGAAAATAGTTAGAATTTGATTGTTCTTTTACTACTCTTTGGACTTACTATAAGATATATGATCCAGAAATATATTTTCTTGCTGTTAACATCACTGCTCCTCTTGCAAGAATGGGTAGGAGGTGTGTGAACAAGCATGCACATTTACCTGCTTCCTCGCTCCTCAGGAATCGGAAACTATTTGATTTTCTGGATAATTCTCACAGTGTAGTCTTTCTCACCTCCATTCCAAAAAGCAAACAGTACTATTTTGTCTCCCTGTCATTTCCTTGTGCTGCTTTTTGAGCAAACAGGCACAGAAAGGTAGCCCATCAGTCCTGCATGTTAGCACAATTCCTCCTGGTGGGAGGCTTGGCATCCTACACCTTCCTGTCTGATGCCAGTAACATCCCACATTCTTACTTCAGGGTATGATGCCAAGACCTTCAGTTGGGCAACTTATCTAGAGAAGACCAAAGCAAAAGCTGCACCAACACGTCTGTTCAACATGGTAAGTCCACATGGGGGGCAAGATCGCAGCAAACACCCCTGTAGAACCATAAATCATTGAGCTGGCAAAATAACCCTAACTCTACAATAATATATTAGTATAGAAATATGCCAAACTGAGTTTGAAGGTTCAGTACTATGACCATTGACAACATTGTTCTCCTCAACTTTGTTCAGCTGCTTAAAAAAAAAACAAGCGAACTTCCTGAGCTCTAGAGCTCTCTACTGCATCTTGCAACAGCAAGTTCCATGCATTAAGGGTTGTTTTGTGTGAAGAAGTGCTTCCTTTTGTCAGCCCTCAATCTATTGCACATTCAACTCCATACAGTGACCTGTAGTATTATGAGAAGCTGAATTTCACTCTTTCTGCAGACTGCACAAAATTTCATGAACCTAAATGAGATTTTCCCAGGCTGGCACCCCCTGGATGTTTTAGAGTACAACTCCCAGCTTCCCAGTTGTCCTTTTTCCATAAATAAACATACCTGAAACACTGCAGCTTTTTCCACGTGGGAAAGGCATTCCAGTCACGCAATCATTTGCCATCTTCTGTACCTTTGTCAAGTCCATGACAAAGAAACCAGAACTGTTTCCATTATTCCCAGAGTCTGCCTGTGGCAGCAATTAGCAATTTTTAAGCTCTTGGCTTATTTATATTTCTTTTAAGGTGATTGCTGGGTCATCTTTCAATCCAAAACAGGCCTCTACAATGAATGACAGAATAAAAATGTAAAACATTTTAGGGATTTTAAGCATCCCGCACAGCAAAATTAAGAATGGAAGAAAAGCCATTATTTAAAAACAGGGAATAGAGCAAATAGACATGGCTTTGGGTTGTCTGGTATCACAACTGTGTGAGCATGAAGAATCTAATGCAGAAGTTGACATACTGAGAATAGCAAACCATCTTGCAAATCTTCTGTTGCTTAGCTTCCTGTTCTAAGATGTGATCACTTGTTTGGGAAAAGTTTGGAAGCCGTGGGATAGTCGTGGCTTCTAGCCGCTCAGTGGTTGGCTGTTGTTCTCTCCCCTAAAAGTTCTATCTCGTGCCTTTTTCTTCCCCCCTTCTATTTTCCCTCCACCAAATCCCAGGCCTAATGTACAACCCAGTTCATATTGGACTCAGAACCAGAATGACTGTGATCTGAGGGCAGGGGAAGCCCAGCTTGCTGCTTTACAGTAGCACTTGCTGAAAGGAGATCAAGCAGTTTATACTGTTTATAACCCAGGCACAGCACGTTGAGTTACATGCATAGGTTTTTTTATGCATTGTAATGCATTCTTTGTCTTACTACATATCTCATGCTGGAATACTTCTCATACTCTTTCTCTTCCTGGATTGTTCAGCTTTCACAACTGAATTGACTATAGCATATTTGGGTTCCTGAAAATGTGTCATTTTTTAAAAAACATCATATTCCTAGCTGTCATTGATCATTAAATACATGTTACTACTTGGTAACTTAGTGTGTTTCTCCTTCCCCCAGGATTGCCCAAACCATGGCTTCAAAGTGGGTGCCAAACTGGAAGCAGTAGACTTGATGGAACCCCGGCTTATCTGTGTAGCCACAGTGAAGCGGGTGGTCCACCGGCTCCTCAGAATTCACTTTGATGGCTGGGACAGTGAATATGACCAGTGGGTGGACTGCGAGTCCCCCGATATCTATCCTGTGGGTTGGTGTGAACTGATAGGCTACCAGCTGCAGCCACCAGTTGTCCCAGGTAAGAGATGATGCCTCTTGTTCTAGCTTCAGTGGTTCAGCCCAGACTGGGTAGCAGGCTGACTCGACGGTATTTTCTCTTTTTCATGAGTGAGAAAGAAGCTTTCCCTTTTTCTTACCATACGGAAAACCTTGACAGGTTAGAGTCCCAGAACCATAGTGAGAGCTAGAGCAGTCACTTACAGGGACCTGAGCTGACATGCAATGCAACAGGGGTTCCTAGGGAGTGGGGGTATGTCCCCTTGCAGAGGCCATTTAGCCCACAAGTCTTGGTCTTCTGGTCATGACTCCAGTTATTTAGGAAAGAATAAGCTTTAGTTTCACTTTAGGATTATTCTCTTCCACAGTTAGCTGCGGTTGGTGCTACTGAATCCTAATTTTCACTTTAATTCATTGTAAGAGGTCTACTTTCCCTGTATTTTTCTCTTTCCAAAATGAAATACTAGATGCAGCCCAGTCTGCAGTGCAGAATTTAGAGTCCTGGGCATCTCAGTGCCCTGTGTGTATTTCTGTGTATTTTTCTTTTCTTTTTAAATTTAGACAATGTTTGCAGACCTCATTTTGTGGCTGATGTGAGGTGGGCTCCTGGTGTGGACAGTAATGACTAAAACACCTATTTGCCCCTGCCTTTCAGTGACTTCCAGCAGAATCAGCTACTTCTGCTTATCATACTCAGGTTTTATTGTATTTTATCATGATTTTATCTTGTTAAACCACTTTGGAATTCTTAAAATGAAAAGCATTAGAGAAGTTATTTGAAGTACATAATTCGTTAAAACCTGTCTGAAAAAGCAGGTGACACCTGGAAGACAAAGCTCCTGCTTTGGAGAGAGAGGATAGCGTTGCTCTTCTGCTCTGAACAGGAAGAGCTCAAATGGACTTTCACTTGCACCTGCTTTCATAAGGGAAGCAAAAACAGCTTCACAGATAAGCAGCCCATGAAGTCTGGACTATGCTGACCTCCTGATTGTGTTTCTCTACATGCATACTCCCTTATCCCCCCTAAAAAACCCTGTTAGGGCTTTTTTTGCAAAACACATTTAATATATCAGGTCTCAGAATGAAATATACAAAGTAGGCAAATATTTAGAAAGTGTGACAGAGTCATGAGAGAGGGGATTCTCTCTCACGGCATCCTGTCTTTTGCACAAGACGTTCCAAGCATAAATAGTTGGAATTAATCATGGAAGTGCTCACCTGGAGACTTTACTCAGCCATAGTTAGTCTCTACTACTTAAAGCCCCTGTGTCTGTATATCTTCTGAGATAGAGCTCTTCTTTTCTTGGTGACAGAACCCATGTCACTTGCATCTGCCAAAGATGTGCCAAAGAGGAAACGAAAGCCATATGGAAAAAAAAGTAAGTGACCTTTGGATCAACTTGTTCCCCTATGAGGCCTCTTCATTTTGTCTTGACATCAAGGGAAGATCTGATAGTTAGATGAACACAGACACAAGCTAGGTGCAGATGCCATGTTGCCAGGAACTGCCACTGTACAGGCCAGGAATATGGGGTGTGGCAGGGGATACCCATGGAAGGATGGAGAGGAAGGCGCATGGGAGTCTACAGGGCATGCTGCTTGTTGTCTGACATTATGTCTGTTAACAAGGTTGCTATCCTTAGTCTTGGTTAGGAAGTTGCAGGGTGTTGAATTTTACATCTGCATTCTTTTGCTCCAGGTCAACCTACCCGTATGTTTATTCTAGACTATATCTCTGCCATATCATAGGTGATAACTCATTAGGAAGCTGCTCTCTGTCTCAGACCCCCATCAGTTTCTGCATATGATGTGCCTGTATGCTGGGGAAGGAAACAAGAAATTGCCTTAGACTCTGGTGCCTCCAAGTAGGTGCCTGCTACGAATTAGAAGATGTGGTGCAGCAATTCTGTCTTTTTCTACATTAACAAAAAAGACAGGAGACTGGGGAAAGCAGGAGGGTTAAAAATGGAAGGCAATGTCTGGTCTGCTGTGCTTCTGTAGAATTCTGAGAGTGAGGCAGGGCAATGCTGTGATGAAAACCTCAGCCAGAAGCACTCTCAGATGGATTACTGGACCCTCCCACTCTTGCAGGCAGGTGCTCCCCACTTCCTCTGGCAAACCTTACCCAAATTCTGTTTTCCTGATCTCCTTTAATGGGAGATAATAGGGAATAAATAGGGGACCCTATATGTAAAGCCTGTATTATCAGTGATGGGCTACAAGCTTTGTTTAAGGCCCTGAGTCTCTTTCACTGAACAGGCCCCTGTTGGGTTAGAGGAGTAAGACCCCGTACCTGAGGATCTGGAGAAGTCCATTGCTCCAATTTTCAACTCCTATTGTGTTGCCCAGCTAGGTGGGTTGAATAGACACAGACTATACCAATAAGTTAAAATGACATTCAGTAGTATCTGTGTCAGCATAGTGTCAATTGTGTTTGGTTTTGATGCAAGAACCTGAATTCAAAACATTGTCTCATTTGCTCAGTGGCCAAACCTAACTCGCAAGTTCTCATTGTCAATGGACTGTGCAACCTCAGCTCCCCTTACCAAAGAGAAGTTCCCCGCCACCACCAAAAGAAAACCAGGAGAAGGAGAAGCTTATCTCCCTTCTTCCTGATACCTATTGATTGGAGAACCATGTAGTTATATGCCTTTCACTTGCAATAGAAATGGAACAGTCTGGATCCAGGTTTGCCATTTCAGCAAATGTTGCTGCTCTAAGTTCTTTAGAAGAAGAAATTTAAAAAGAAATAAAAATTGTTAGGAAAACGGGTGCATGACATTCGTTGTTCTTTATCTCAAGGGAAAAAAATAACTTCTAAAGCTCGTTCCACAAAGCAAACAGCTAAGAAAATAACTACCCCAAAAGCAAAGGAGGAAACGCAGGTGGCTAAGAAAACGGCTGCCTCAAAAGGAAAGGAAGGAATGCAAGGTATCAAAAAAATGGCTGTCTCTAAAGCAATGGAGGAAATGCAAGCTGCAAGCAAGACCTCCCCAAAGCCACCATCTGATGAAAGTAAGAAAGGGGATTTACTTAATTATGCCTGTTCTTCCTCTTCCCACAGCCCAATCTGCACTTCAGCCAGGACAGAGCAGGGGAAAGGTGCTAGGAAAGTGCTGAGATTACTCAAGCATTCTCACCTGAAGAGGTGCTTCATGTTTCCTTTGTGTTGGGACAATAGTGCAGTGTCACTTTCAGGGAGGTTGGAGGCTTCCTATTACTTGTATGGAATGGATTGCCAGAAAGAGATGGTATGGTGCAGGATAGGAGAGCCCGGAGGAATGTTGTCCATGGGGTCGTGATGGGTCGGGTACGACTTCGCAAATAACATAATCTGGCACCCAAAATCCTGGATTACACCTTCACTATGAATCATGTAAATGAACATTCTTCCTTTTCAATATGCAACACTATAATTGTGTGTACTTATTTTTATTTATATGTGTCTGCATAAATCCTACTAGCTAATTGAGCTGCAGTCATCTCAATAAAAGAGCAGAGCAGAGCAGAGCATGGGGTGCTTAAAATAATGCATGATGTGGAGAAAGTAGAGAGGGGGACCTTTTTCTTCCTTTCCCATAGCACTTGTACTTGGGGTCATCCCATGAAACTGACTGAGGGTGTGGGGGGGGGGGGCGAGGTTTAGGACAGATAAAAGGAAGCACTTCTTCACACAGCATATAGTTAAACTATGGAATTCGCCGCCACGGGAATGATGCCATGGTGGTGATGCCACCAATGGTGATGCCCTCAGTTTGGATGGCTTTAAAAAAGGATTTGTGACAGGAGGCTATCAGTGGCTACTAGACTTGCTGGTTGTGTGCTTTCTGCTTTTCCAGAGGTGGCCTGCCTGCATACACCCACTGAGGAGCTTGGGCAAGAGGAGGTCTTGCACCCATTCTGCCTGAGGGATCCTCTGGGCAGCTGGTTTGCCACTGTGTGCACAGAGTGCTGGATTAGATGGACTAGATGATCTGTTCCAGCTTGGCTTTTCATCTGTTCTTACGTGTTCTTAAATAAATCTAACAACAAAGAACAGAGGCTAATGTAGTTATCAGACTTTTCTGAAGTACAGCTTGTTAAGAGCCATCTGATACATAATGGCCTACATTATAACACCATTTTATGTGGGCTGGTTGTACCCTGGTATGCATTCAGTGTCCAACCAACCTGTGGCCCTATGGATGCTTCCAAAGTAAAGAAGTGCTACTTCCAATGTAGTTAAAGTCTTACATGCCACACACCTTAATTTGCAAAACAATACACAGAAGTCAAAGTTAAAAATTTGCCCAGTCTTTCTAGGGTTTGTATGGAATTTTGTATGGAATTGTGTACTAGGTTTCAGTCTTAGTGTTTCAGAATTACTATTAGATTCTGCATTATCATCAGTATTCCAATAGTAACCATGTAGTTCCTAAATAAGGAACTATTATAACTAATAAGGGATAAGAGGGAGGAGGAGGAAGATGTAAGCTGCCTCGAGCCCGTTGTAGGAAAAAGGCAGGATATAAATCGAAAAATAAATAAATAAATGCCTTGACCCTAAAGATCAGTAGATTTTTTTTGCAGCTTTGCCTTTACCTATTCAGTCTGAAAATCAGCATGCAGCAAACATACTACAGTGGAATATGACTTCCAGTGCAGAATGTTTGCTACTGTTTGTTGCTTTTGATCAGTAACTATTGTGTATATCTGGATGCAGTTTGTTGATGGCATTTTGCTACTGTATATTTTACCATCAACTTGACTGTGGGAGATTTTTGAGAATTGTGTCCTATATTGTGAATGTAGCCCCTCACTCTGTTTCCTAGCAGTTGTTGCTGTGCAAGTGAAAGAAGAAATCCTTGAAGACTCAGTGATGGAACTTGAAGCTTCACAACTTCCAGTCCCAATCAGCTGCTTAAAGAATGAGGACATGGAACTGGAAGCCCCAACCAGTCCTGGGCCAATTGGCTGCTTAAAGTCAGAGGACACAGGGCCAGAAGCTCCAGCAAGCCCTCATCAGCATGGATGCTTCAAGGATGAGGATGTGGAACCAGTTGCTCCAGCAAGCCCTGTACTGATCACTTGTTTAAAGGATGAGGATGTGGACTAGAGCTTCAAGAAGCAAGGAAGTTACATAGTCCTGCACAACAGTCCTTGACAAAATAAGTAAACTGCTGGCCTCAGTTGGCAACTTGAGCTGTGCATTACAAAGCTGTCTTTTTTTCTTGATAGTAGATGCTGTTCTTGGAAAATAGATGGACCATATCATGTCAAAAGACAAGTCTTCAGTGCCTTTCTAAGAAAGCGGTAGAGAGAGGAAGGTAATAAATGCTGAAGTACTTCCTGATCTAGGCATGGAGGTGGTTGAAAAGGAACTGTGGGAATGGGCAGGAGCCCCTCCCATGGGTGCAAGGAACAGGGAGGGGAAGGCTTCTGCCCAAACTAAGGCTTAGCTGTAGAAACTGCCCGCCAACAGGGCTCCATGCTCAGAGACCATGAAGTAGAACTCCCACCTCAGGTGGTAGGACATCTTTCACCAGCCCTGTCCGTACCCTTGAAGAAATTGTCTTCCAGAGAATTTAGGGAGGACTTCTTTATTCAGGACTTCTAATCATAGTTCTTAACTATAAATAAGTGAGGAAACCAATATTATTCAAACAGAAATAATAATGAGCATTTCTTTTGTTCTCTTTTTACTGTGAACTGAAGCAAACATTGAAAGAAGGGAGGAGAAAATGTAATGTTTTTAATGGGCATTGCTGTTGTATGTTGGTTGATTTTTCCCTTTTTTGTACACATGTAAATTGTACTGATGAAACCATTAAATAAAATTTAGTAGATAAGCGATCTCATGTGTGGAAGAAATATAAGGTCTTCTCCAGTCAAGAAAAGGTTTATAAAGCTTCTTGCAAAAGCAAGTTTTCTATTGTTTGCTGATTTTAAAACACACTTGTTCTCAATCTTTGAAAGGACCTCTGTCTTCAAGTAAAGATTTGCAATTTCACTTCTTTGGCAAAATGGTTTCCAGGGTCATAATCATGTCAAGATTTAAAACCTTTTATGTCCTGGAATTTGATAGTTTGAACATGAATCAAATTCATGTTCAACATGTAGAGGAGAACCATAACTGCTGAAGAACTGCCTGCATTATGTTCCGACATCACATGTGTTTTAAAGTAGGTCTTCTCAGATTAGAAAACCATTTTTAGCACGGGCAATATGAACATGAGCAAGCACAATAAACATGAGCAAGCACAAACAGCATGACTCTTGTTTCTTTCCTTATTTGCTGAGCTCTTTTGTGTTTTGAAAGAAGCTTTGAATGCCTATTGGCAAAGTGCTGCCATGCTCCAAAAGGCTTCATGTGGATTGCAGGCTTCAACTCACTTTCTTGACCACTGCTCCATCTTTGTTAACTTCTGACTCTGCTTTGTTTCCTACTCAGTGTATGCAACTGCTTCTCAACTGAGGTTTAACTTTCTGGAATCAGAAAGGATTAGGGTACACTATAAATCCATGTCACATACTTTATTCTTAAAAAAAAAAAAAAAACCACTGTCTCTTTGTTACCCTCTTTCCAGTGGGTGCCCTGATGTGGCTGGAAGCCAGTGGGTCAATTTGGTCAAGACGAGAGACCTGAAGTGTGGGCCTTTCCTGTGCAGCTATGCTTCCTTCTCAGTTTTTCAGGTCTAAACCCAATGTGAAGGTGGCTTTTACTCACTCCTGTTCTCCAGCAAATAAATAAATGTTTGCATTGAAAGAGGAAGAGTCACAATCTGACTTTATATTTGAACAAATTCTGTTCCTCAAAGATTTTTGGAATTTCCACACTTTTTCCTTCAAAGTGTACATTTTTAAATCAAGAATGCTATGTTGTATATCATTTTCTAAACAACTCATTATAGTAAGACCAGGAATATAAACAACAGAAAATGATTATCGTTTTCTGGATGAATCTTATACTCAGTTGTTGCACACAGATCAAGGGACAGCAGCTGTATGTTGGTTTTTTCTATTTAGACCAGCATGGCTTAGTTTATGTGCTTTTTCATAGTTGGCACGTATATATTATATAACAACTATATATAATAGTTACCTTTAAAGTCTGTTCCATATGTTAGAAGAGCAGTGTGCTTTCTACTTTAGAACTGCAATTCTTAGTATAAATTGGTGCCCTTTGTGCGAAACCATGTCCTGGGTGGAGGGAGGCGCATGAGTTAGGTCAAAATCGCCTTGAGCCATTTCAGAATTGTTCTGATCAGTGGCTTGCCAGATGGGGACACGTGTGTGCACATATGTACACATGCACACAAAATGTATACTAACAGTATACTCACATTTTGCCAATATCATATATGAAGCAAGCTCAACACTGAACACAGTGGAAGCAGAAAAGGAGGCAACAGAAGACCTCCAGGAGGAAGCTACCTTTTGAAAGTTCCTAGGTGAGACCGCTCCAGTCTTCGTGCTGAGCCGATCACTTGATGAACAGAACACTGCAGTCTAGCCACTGGCCAAATGGCAGGTCCCCTGCTTTTAAACCCCATCCGCCAATTAGTGCATAATCCTATTTAAAAATCTCCCCTGAGGAAATTCCACTGCTTTCCTGGGCAACTTGTTCCACTGCCTGCTTGTTCTTGCAATAAGAAGACTTAAGCAAAACTACTACAAGCATAGTTAGGATCAGGTTGTAAATCTGCTGTGTAAGAGTTCACACTCATTGCTTCTTGTGTTTCCTCCTGTAAGCTGTTTTTGCAGGCCTTTTCTTTGGAACCTGGTATATGGCCTATTCCAAATTCAATGAGCTTTCAGCTTCTCCTATCCTATGCTTCTGTAAATCGTGATTATTTTTTGCATTGAATCTTTCTTCAAATAACGATCAGCTTCCCACTTCTCCCTTTCCACTATCTCCACACCATAAATAATTTCATACTCTTTATCATGTCTCCCTTTTTCCCTAAATTGAAAAATCCCAAGTATTGTAAACTTTTAAGGGAGTTGCTCTAAGCCCTTTATCACTCTGGGTGCCCTTTTCTTCTCTTTTTTCCAGTCCTATGCTATTCTTTCTAAGATCAGATATCAGAATTGCACACAATATTCCAAGACTGATTGCACTATTATATTTATCAATAGTATTACGATGTTTGATCTTTTTCTAAATGATCCCTAACATGCAATTTGCTCTTTTTCCACAGCAACCACACATTGGGTGGAGCCAGAATGGACATTTTTATATTAAAATTGCAAAGGTTGCTCGGTATAAGTAGATGTCAAGTGATAGACATGGTGACAAAAGTATTTTAAATTCACATATACAGTGATGGGCTGAGTTGACAGTGGCAGGCTAGGAAAGAGGTTTTGGTGGATGAAAATATTGATTCTGTGTGTATTGGGGGTGGGGGGAGCAGCTATTGAAAATATTAATTCTGAAAAGATTGAAAAGATTAATTCTATGTTGGGGATAATTAGGGAATCAAAAATAAAACTGAGTTGAAAGCAAAAATACAGAGGTTAAAGGTTGATTGCTTACCCCTTAACTCAAATGGCATTAGCTGCACAGTGCCATAAACTTAGCAAACAGAATATGTTGCGTACTGGAAGTCAAAATAGGTAGCCAAACTTCAGTTTTGTCAAATGTTCTGATGCCTAAGAAAAGAGCTACAAGGTCCTTAATATAAATGATACTATGATCAAGATACCACATAAAATTTCCTTGTCAACCATTGCTTTCTTAAAAAGGAATACTCCCATCTGTATTTCATGCAGCAAAATGCTTCTAATCAGGACTTTGATACTCCTCAATTCAGAAAGGTGCTGAAGTAGCACAGAATTCTGTAATGGGCACACAATTCAGCAATCTTAAGAATCAAAAGGATTTTATTTTTTTTAAAAAGCAAACTTTAACATTTTTTGAAAACCCTTTTGGGGTTATAAAGAGAAGCTTGAAAGTGTGGGACGTATCTGAGGAATGCTCAGGTCCTTTCACTGCCTTTAGATGGGCATAAATAATAAAACTAAACATGCACATTTGCCTAAGTGAACAGCTCATGGATTTAAACTATACATGGTGCAGAATTCTGATTTTTTTTGTGGAGGTGGAGGCGGTTGCATTCTTCTCCACTGGCCACCTCTTCTAACATCCTGAGATTATCTGTCTTTTGGCACAATCAGGTCTGTCTTCTTCCATTGAAAATGCAACTGCTGTACTATTATGTATTTACAGGCCATGAGTGCATCTACTGATGGATTTATTCTCTTTCTCTAACCTTGCTTTTCTAATAGCAGAGAAAAGTAGAAGTGTGGTTCTCGCAGAGCTCTTGCTTCTTTCCCTTTCAGACCTTACTTTTCCTCCTTCCTCTAACTTGCATATCCCCTGCCCCCTGCCTCTTCCTGGAGCTTCTTCCAGCTTTGGCTTTGGCTTTAGTTAGGCTTGTTCGTTTGGCCTTCTTCGTACTCCATCCTGGGCAGCTTTGGAAGGCAGCTGTGAGCTTCACCTTCTGCCCATGTACAGCCGCTGGTGAGCCACAGGCGGCCCCTGTTCTCAGGTTCAGCTTGTCAAGCCACCTGAAAAATAGAGGAAAACAGTGAGCAATTATAATCTGCTAAGCCCACCTATATTTAGAAGCACTCAACTGGCTTTACATTTTCTTATGTTTCTGAGCATTCTTTCATTTACTGGCTGTGTTCACGCAACACGACAAGCCCCTGTGTGGTTGCCATGGTTCAGAGTTTTTTACAACAGTTTACCTGATAGACAATCAAGTGGTTTCTACTTTCTACCATGAATGGGTTCAGAACACAGTGGTAAAAATTCACCATGGCTTGTGTGGTCGGAACACACCCATTGTGAAATATGCAGAGGAGTGCTTGGGCATGCTGTTCCATTAACTTGCCCAATAGTATAATTTTCAGAGTCAACTAGGTAATATGACTGATCAGCTTAGCACATCCAATGGCCCATTCATCACCTTTTGCGATAAACCAGGTTAGTGCTAAGCAAGCTTTTCTCTGCTGAGGGCAGTGCTCCAAGTGGGTAGTCTGCTGGGCTGCCTGTTGGCTCTGAGTGAGGCCACCTGGTGGACAAAGCCAAAGCCAGTCACCCTCTTTCTGCTCTCCCCTTTGTGTTCTCCTTCCTTCCCATGCAGCAGGCTACCACTGAAGGTATAGTCCTCTCTTGCCACAACTGATTGTTTGCAGAGCCCTTTCAAAGTTAGGCCAAAGGCCGAAGGTTGCTCTCTCTGACCTAGGTGGATACTGTGGCATTTAAGGTTTGTTTAGACTTGCTTGTAACAGCCAGGTTCTGCGGAGAGGTGCAGCTCCCTCAGATGGCCTGATAGGCAGGGCAGCCTGGCCCAACTCCAGAATGGGGTCAAATGCAATCATGCAGACCAGCTGGAAGCTGCAGAAAGTTCTATAAAAGGACTCCCAGTTCTGCCTAGCTTTGCCGCAGTGACACGAGTCTTCCTAGTGCTGCTTCATGTTCATAATCCAACTTCTGTCTCCAGTCCTACAACTTCTTCAATTGTGTTTTGACTCCTACTTGTTCCTGATTTGCCTCTGGTGCTGCCATGACTTGCCAGGTCTCTCACCCTTGGTTGTTCCTGGTTCTGCCTTCACCTCTGGTTCTGAGACATTGTGCCAGTATCTTATCCTTGCCTGTTTTTCCCTTTGCCTCTTGTCATGCCACACCTGGAGCAGATGATCCTCAAGGTACCCTCCAATCTATAAAACAGCCATGTATAGTGATGGTACTGGAGAAACAGTAAATGTAACTGTATGACAACAAGCAGGGATAGACTGCTGTGCAATTATGTGACTTTAGGCCACAAAAGCTAGAGCAGCATCCCTAATCGCTCTATGCAGATGGCTGGCCAGAGTGCTGGACCGTGCACATCGCCAGGACTTCTAAATCCTGCCAAATAAGAAAAAGAGCAATTGCTCCTCCCACTGCTGTTCTACAAGTTCACGTGCACTAGTAGGAAATAAAGGCTTACTTGCGCAGAGGGAGAAGCTGACAATTGCAGCTGAAAGGTACATCGCTCAAGTTGATCGCTTCCAGGGCAGTGAAGCCATGTAAGTCAGGCAAGCTGTCCATTTTGTTCTTCTCCAGGTACAGGCTCTTTATCTTCCGACCCAGGCCAGTGAAGGCACCAGCGGACATCTGCAAGCACAGAAGAGGTTGGCTATGGGGTTGCTCAAGGATGACCCCAGTGACTTATGCATGAGCATGCTTCTCATCTAGGCCAGTTAGTCAAAACTTCAGCTCACACTGATCTTCTGTGTGCCTTCTTAGTGTCAGCAAACCTGTGTAAGGTGCAGTTCTAAGTACCTTAGATGCCCTATCCCACCCCAGACCATTCGAATTATTTTGACGCCTTGTTCTTGAGAATGAAAAAGGGTGAATTGTTTCCTCAGAACTGGATACTATTAGCCCATACACATACCAGTGGTTGAGGAAAGGAATGAACTCTGGGTTTGGTCTCATTAGTACAGAAAGGTTAGCACTGCATCTATCATTCGGTGGATGGTTTTGCGCTTATGCATATATATTGTGCAGTTACTTGGAAGGCAAGCTGTTTTTAAGAAGCTGCCATGTACTGAGTCCATCTAACTCAGTATGGCAGTATGATGGGCACTCTAGGTTTTAAGCAGACATATTTTCCAACCCAAAGTGTAGGTGTTGACCCCAAAACCGTCTGCATACCATGCATGTATTCTGGGTTGTGCCCTTCCCTGTGCCTTGAAGTGTCTTTAACACCAGCTGAGAACCATGTGTACCTCCTGATATTGGTGGACTGCCACTTCAATCATCCCTAGCCAGCACAGTGAATGGAGAAGGAAGATGGGAATTTCCCATCCAACTTCAGGAAGGCCCTACATTCCCCTTCTCTGTTTTATGTTCCCCTTCTCTGCTGCATAGCCAGTAGAGTTTTAGTAGGGGTGGCTTCTCTCGTACTTAAAAATGTGTGAGCAGCTTTCCAGGTCCAGGGAGAAGATTCAGTCCCTGGCATCTACAAGGCGGACAACCTAAGACACCTGACCGATAGTCCAGAGAGCTGTGGCCAGACAGTGTAAACCCCTGCTCCTCAGCCTAGTGCCCTCCAGATGAGCTTGATGACAGTTCTCATCATTCTTAGCCAGCATGGCCAAAATTCCTTACAGGAATTAAGTCTAACCCATCAAGTTTTATATTAGTAGTGAGGCTTGTGCTTAGGAAAGGGTAGCAAAATATGTTCTACATGCTGACGAAAACCCTGTGATATATAATCTCAGAGTTTACTTTTAATATGACATCATTAAACCAAGAAATGTTCCCATAGCTTCAAAGAGATATTCTTGGAAATTCTCCTGCTTCAGTTTACCTTTTCCAGCCCCATGTTATCTAGGTACAAATGCTGTAGGGATCTTGCCACTGGAAGGAAGGCATTATTCCCAATGTACTTTATGGGATTCTTGGACAACTTCAGTTCAATAAGCATGGGCAGACCTCTGAGAGAGCTGGTGGGCACTTCTTGCAAAGAATTCTCATCTAGGTGCAGCTTTTCTAGAATCTTGGCATGACTCAAAGCCTTGGGAGCCATCTGAGCAATTCTATTTCCTGTTAGGTAGAGCCAGCGTAGCTTCTCCATCCCAGCCAGAGCATTGTCCGGCAGCTGACTGATTGAGTTGTGTTGCAAGTGAAGGGCAAAAAGGTTGGGCAAGTGACTGAAGACCCCCTTGGGCATGTGAGTTAATTTATTGTGGTCCAGGTAAAGATAGGCAAGCTGGGTGGTCCCTGCAAATGTCTCAGCGTCTATAGAAGAGATGTCATTGTTGGACAGGTACAGATAGAGCAGTTTTTTCAGGCCCTGGAAAGCACCAGACTGCAGGACAGCAATCTTGCAGTTCTGCAAGTGGAGAGATGTCAAGTTTTTCAAGCCAGGGAAGGAGCCTTTTGGTACAGACAAAAACTCATTGTGGCGCAAGTCCAGGAGCTGGGTGTTACTAGGAAATCCTTTGGGAATGCTCTGGAGATTTCTGTTGTCACAGTTTCCATGCTGGTAATCAGGTGAACAATTACATCCTTTGGGGCACTTTACAGTCTCCTCCTCTGGCTCCCTGGTGACTGTGGCCATGCTGGGAAGCAGCTTTTCTTCCAAAGAGTGATCTGTACACTTCATGTCTGATGTCCTCAGGGATTCTAGATGCTCTCCCCTGGAAGCAACAGGGCCGGCACACACCACCTCAGCATGGATCCTTGCTTTGGCTGCCCATTCCTTGAAGGGACGCATGTAACACGTGCAAAGCACAGGGTTCCCTGTTAAATCGATGCTTTTAAGGTGGGCCATTTCTGTCAGTGGCTGCAGCACAGACAACTGATTGTTGTGCAGGCTGAGCATTTCTAATAGGGGGCTCCTGACAAAAGCTCTGTGTGAGACATCCTGGAGGGCCATGTTGTCCAAGAAGAGCTGTTTCAGGGAAGCCATCTCAATGGCCTCCTCCCCAATGTAGGTGATGGGATTGTATCCGAAGTTCAGGCGGGTTGTGCCTGACAGTCTAGACAGTGGCTCACTTGGAAAGAACTGCAGTTCATTGTGATCTAGGCTCAGTCTTTTAAGTGTTGGTAAGCCACCAAAGGCTTCACTGGCAAGTACATGGAGTGAATTATGAGACAAATTTATCCACTTGATCAGCTGCAGTCCCTGGAAGACCATATCTGGTAAGTAAACCAAGGCGTTCCTGGCCAGATTAAGAAAGCTCAGGAAACCGAGTTGTCCAAAAGCCCCTGGCTTTATTTCTTCAATGCGATTGTCTTCTAGAATAAGTTGTCTGAGAGAGAACAGGCCATCTAATGATTCTTGATAGATGAAGGCTATATTATTGGAAGCCAAGTTGAGATAGATCAGCCGTCCTAATCCTCTGAATGCCCCTTCCTCAATGCTTTCCACCTTGCATTTCTGAAGGTTCAAGTGGGTGAGGTATGGAATAGGCAAGAAGGCTCCTGCAGGGATGACTTGAATTTCATTACGCCGGATGTCCAGTCTTTGGGTGACCTGTAGATTACACAGATGAAATCAGTTTTATCCCCTATTCATTAATGTTCCTGCTATTTCTGTTTGGCTCAAGACACTGTAATAGTTGTCCTGGTAGTAAGTAGCAATGTGCTAAGTCTTGCTTAAAACTTTGACACATTGGGAATGGACAGAGAAATTAGCATAGCAGTTAGTCTCATTTTTTAAGTCTGTAGATTAAATTTTCATTTTAATCCCAGAAAAAGACTAGGGGATTTATCCAGATGAGGAAGCATAATATATATAGAGAGATGTACTTAATAATAAATGGGAAATTAGGATAAGTAGTGATTATATCTTTGCTAAATCACAAAACTAGTTATTCCCTTGGTATCATTGGGCTGGTCCCAGATTTAAAATGTACACAGTGAAATCAAGTACTAATTCCCAATTTCAATGGATAGGCTCTTAAGTATGAGAAAATCTAGACCCAAACTATTATCTTTAAATAAGATAATTCATTGAATCTTCTATCTACTCACTTTTTGGGAAGGTGCTTTTATGGCAATTTATTTTTAATAATGGGATGCTTTCCCCAATATCTAACTTGCTATGTCAGTTTGAAGGAAAGGACTACTAGAACTCCTTGGAATGAAGACTTGGGGTGATGCAGTCCACACAGCCTCAGAATTGAGATGTCAAAGTCCAAACCATTGCCTCACCCGGTCTTCCTCACATCCAGAGTGAAAAAGAGCCATGCTGGCTGTTTTAGCGATTGGTTTCATTATTTTATCTTGTAAACGGCTTTGGATTTTTATAGTTAAATGAAAAGTGATATAGAAATTATTTGCAATAAGTAGAAATAAATGAATAAGATTGTCCATTCGAGATACTGGGAGGTTCAAGCTGCATCATCAATGAAACAATATCTGATCAATTATTTACAGGTTGTGGAAATGGATAGACCGGCAGATGCTGTTCAAAAGAGAAATGGATTAGAGACAGCTGCTCTTTATTCAGGTGTGCAGGTAAGAGCAACCTTCCCTGGCTTCACTAGAGGCATTCCCAGGGTGACCACTTGCCCCAGTGCTTCCTACAGACTGACCTGTGGGATGTTAACAGGCACCTCAGTGAGGTTCTTGTTCACGCACATGACTTGATACTTGATGCTGTCACAGATGCAGATCCGTGGGCAGCGTTCAGCCACCACCTTTCCCACAAGCAGGGATGACATCAGGAGAAGGCTTGCAGAGGCCCACATCTTGGGAAGCTGCTGAGTGGGCAACAGAAAAGGAAAAGGAAGTCAGTTGTTAGACCAGGGATGTGGAATCTCTTTAAGCCTGGGGGCTAAATTTCATTTCATTTCTTTTCTTTTCATTTCAGAGAAGTTCCAGTCAGCCACATGCCTGCGGTGGGTGGGGCCAGAGGTAAAAGGTGCATGGTCATAAAACATACCCAAACATCAACATAGTTTATCTTAAAGCTCTTACTCCCAATAATCTGGGGAGGAACTTCAACCTTGTATGGGGTCGGGGAAGTGCAGAAGCTGGCAAACCCCAAGAAATTGGGGTTGGGGAAAAGGAAACATGGCCTTCTGACAAACCCTGGAGGTCCAAATCTGGCCCTTTCCCCTGTCCCTGAAGTTCTGCATCACTGTACTGGACCATGTTCATGTTTCTGCAGTTTTATTATATGCTACCTCTGGGAGCCTACATTCAAAACAGGTTTTCATCACTGCAGCTTTTTAAAAGAGCTCAACAACACTGAAGAGCAGCTTGAAGAAGTGTATGAAAGGGGATAATAAAAGCAACAGAAAGCAGATGGAGATTATGCAGCAGAAATGTAGCTCTTTCTGGTATCCAGGTCGTCTATCGGTGGGTAGGCTTACTCATTCTAGCAGTGTCATTAAGATTCTTCACACAGTCTTACACTCAGTCACTACAGTCATTTGAAACATATGTTTTACTTAGCATTCATACAAAGCTATCTCATTTCAGACTAGGAAATAAAACTAACTCGGATAAAAATAGCTGTGAAACAAAAGGCTGTGAAGCCAGTATAGGGAAGAAGATTCTGAAATGTATTTCTTTCAAAACTCTAGTCTGGCCGATCAAGCTAAATATTCTGTGTTTCACCACAGATGGAAATGCAATCTCTGTATTCCATCCAGTGCGTGGGCTCAGCTGCTTATCCTCCCAGTAATACCAAGTTTTCGGCACAATGCCCCACAGCTGGGGAAAAAAGCTCTTTATCAATGTCACTTGAGTTAGCCTTCAGCACCTACACAAAACTGAGCTAAACCTCTTAATAGAAAAATTGCAGGTGTCCCTTGCCATAGGTGTCCCTTGCCAACAAGCGGCGCTTTACAATGGCTATAGGTTCACACACCGGGGAGCATGCAAACAACTTGTATGCCAGGCAACATGTGAGTGGTACTAGAAAACAGAAGGGGATGCTTGCAGTGACACTTTATAATGAGCAGTCAATGCACTCATGATGAATAGGAGCCACAGCCCTAGATCAACTTGGCAGTGTAGGAAGATATAGTGCGTTAACATCCTAACTTAGCAAGAACCTGCTATGTGTGCCATTCACAAAACCTGGAAAGTTCAACTCAAATGTAAACTGTAATAGGAACATGAAAAGCAATATTAGTCAATGAAAAAACATCATACTTGGACACATCTGAAATATGCCTTTATATGCTTTTATAATTATTATTTCTGAGGGAAATGAAGCCATAGCATTTCAGTCCTGATATCATTATAAAAATAATGACACACAAATTACAATAATTGGAACCGAATTACTAGCTGGTCTGAGGCAGGCACAAGATAATCTATGACCTTGTCCTTGCAGCTGAGGACTGAAGAGGGACTACATGTTATAAGGAAACCTGAGGTTTTCAAACTGGCTCCTCTCAGAACTGTAACATGAAGGCCATTTGCAAGGCAGAATCACCACCTGCCCATTCTCTGCATAATTCCTCCTGGCCACCCCATTTTCATCTATTGTATCCAAAGTGCACATACTTAGCTGGGGCCCAAAAGCCCAAGACATAAAATAAGTCCTGCAGGGAATTAAGTTGGGGAAAGTATTAAGTAATTCACTGCTCCCCACACATGCATTCTTGTTCCTTTGGCAAAGATGGACCTGGGATCCCCTGGAAGCGGAAGATGCACTTCTGAAACAGCATAAGAGAGACCAGAAGGTTGAGTCAATGACTGTAAAAGAATGACTCTGTTCTGTGATCAGGCTTTAATACTGCCTTGAATATCCTGCAAATTCCAGTTTTGTTTACATTTGTCATCACAAATGCACAGCTGACACTTCAGTGTTGCATAAGTAAGGTAATTATTTGTGTTGGGAAACATAAATGTGTTAGAAAACAAGCAAATCGTTAGCATGCAATATGTTTTTTTTAAGTAATAAACAATCGGTGTGCATGCTTCAGGCAAAAAACCTTTCCCTTAAAAAAAAAAAAGGATTGTTCTATGTGTCCTTGATATGTCATTCTGAACAGCAGAGTTAGGGAGCACCCCCACTAGGGCTGAAGCCTTGAATTTTTCATTTGGAGCCCAGAACGTCGGGAAGGTTGTGTGTCCCCCCCCCCCCCGATTGTCCATAGGCAAGTTCTAAAATAAAGGTAAGGGGCCCCGATGAGCTCTGTGGTGCCCGATCCCCCTGGGTAACCCTTTTGCCCACACGTGCGCCACTTCCTGCTGCCCCTCCCCTTTTAATCCTTCTGCCTGATACTTTTGCTGCAATCGAATCCCCTCCGTTCTGCTATCCATGCATCCCTTTTCACAAATGTCAGAGTCCCTAGAAAACAAGGTCCTTTAAATCTACACAGAGAAAGGAGGAGAGAGTTTACAACATACGTAAATTAGCATATGCAAATTCGCATGGTTTTTGACCTTTAGGCCTGAGCCCCAGTCATTTTCCTTGCCTCCCACTGCTCCTGTTCATTATAACGTAAGAAGAGGGACCTTAAAAAAACCATTGCCAGCCATCCAGGCTTTCCAGCTTCCTCCATATTCAACGCCATTCGCCCTTCCCTGCCATACTCAACAGTCAGCCAGTCTTCTCTGCCGCTGAGCCTACAGAATTCTCACTGAGTTTGGGTGCATTTCCTCCCCTTTAGAAGTTTTTGCCTTTTATTTCTACTTCTGCAAACTCTGGGATTCCCCCAAGCCTTATGCAAGGACAGTGAATTTTGGCTATGTAAGGATCCGCATGCAGATAATGAGTTCATTATTAGTACATAAGCAGAATCAAATATAACATCAACAAATGGTTTGAAATTACTCTGCCTTTTTGTTGTATCAGCATTAATTAAGAGCATTCCCTTCACTTGAAACTTTTCCCTATCCCATCAGCAACAAACCCAACTTGTAATTATGCTCATGAAGGTGATTGTTCTTTCTTTTCAGTTAAATGAATTTAAATCATCTGAGTTTTGAGAATTCAGTCTTAAGATGTCTGTGCTGATTTAATATTGCTGCTTCCAGGTTATTTTCATTTTGAGAGAGAGAGAGAGAGAGAGAATTTGTGCGTGCGTGTGTGTTACAGAAGACAAATACCAAGTCTCCGATTCTTAGAAGGATTCCTAGCATCCTTTAGTCAGGCCCCTCATCTAAGACGAGAGAGCCACGGGGGCTTGGGGGGGGGGGGGGGGGGGGAGGAGAGCACGAAGAGGAGAGGGGGATGCAGGCGGCAGCAGCAATCGCCGATCAACTGCAAGTTTCGACAAAATTAAAATGGTGGCAGAAATCTCTGCAGGCAGGAAAGAGTACATAAATGAAACACAAGAAAGCAAAACTACAGCGCTTGTCATTTGTAGAGCAATTTAATTTTTACGGTATTCCCCTCCATCCGTTCCTGCTTCCCCTGGTGCTCAGGATATTTTACATAATGCAATAAATACACTCAATGAACAAAGAATTTAATTCTATTTAGAATGTCATAGCTTGGAGCCAAGAGGTTTGTTTTCTTGCTTTCCCTTCACTTGTTCTCTTTCAAACAGTTTCCTGTGTGAGTCACAGTTTTACCCATCTCTCCTGTCCCTCCTCTTGTTTATCTTCTGTGCCTTTGCTCTGTTATCTGGTTAAAGGCATCCTTCCAGCTGACAGTCTGCTTTCTCTTTACAGGCTGAGCATTTTTACACATGCATCATCGACATTGTCACTCTTTCTGTACTGAGAACAATTAATACTAGCTGCCTTGATAATGCAACACACGCACACACATAAAAGATGGATTGCTAAGGGATGGTGTTAAGTGAAAGTGTAAAAATGATTTTCACTCCTTGTTTTCAGCCAACTTTGTTATATGTCAAGGGTGTCTTTTTATTCATATAAACAAAATTATATATAGCAGTAATTAACATTATATCTTGGGAAATGTTGTGCGATGAACATTTTATTTCTTTTTAAAGAGTAGGATGTGTATTTAAAGCAAGGCTGTGGTGCCTTGAGGAACTGTTGATATTTCCTTACTGTGCAGTTTGTTTTGCGTTAAGAAGACTCATTGCATTGTAGGAAGATCAGGATCAGGCCACAGCTTTGTCTGGTCCTGCAATTTGTTTCTATCTATGAGAAGCTCAAAAGCAGGATATGAGCAGAGTTACAGTACCTTCCCTCTCATGTCCTCCACATTCTTCAGCATACTTGCCTGTAATACTGAAGATAATATACAGCCAAACTGACTAATGCCATTGACAGCCTTATCCACCATGAATTTGTCTAAGCCCTAGCTAAAGCCATCCAGGTTGGTGACTGCCACTTTTGCTAAAATTCTCTACTAATGAAAGAGTCTGCTCTGTTCTTATTTAATTTGAACTGCAATCTACTGATCTTAGTGATATTTAGTCTCAATCCCTTACCTTCTCAGTCACTCGTTGACTGTAACAGGTTTGTCTGTTTATCAGCAGTACAGTTGGCTAGGAACAAAGGTACACAGAAGCCTCCCAAATTTGCCATGAAATGTTGAAAGCCTTAAAGAAGAAAGACATGCTAATACAATATGCTGATTCGCCAAATATCCAGGCTGACCTGAGGACTTAGCAACAGTTGTTCTACATTTAGAACTACCCAAATGCTACTTTAGCAGTGTGAAGAAACTCCTGTTCAAGAAAGAAACAGTCTTGATTACTTGAACCAAAAATTTTCTATCCTTTGGCAGCAAAGGAGTATTATGCAGTGTAAACCTAAACTGTGACTAACACTTTCCCTAAATGAGTTGATTTGAGTTACCTTTTCCTGGGGTACCCAATAACTTACCTCGTTATTTTCTCCCATATGGGCAGGATGGGAAATATTAAGTATAGTTGGGAAGAGCAAAGAAATTCCCTGCATGAAACCCCTTCATCTAGTACCTACCAGAATCTTGTGAATTTCCCTGGTATGCGTGTGTGCAGTGAAAAGAGCTGAATGAACTGTTGTTCAGTAGTGGTATGTTCTCCCTCCTTCCTTCCCTCCCACCCACCTTTCTACACACACACACACACACACACACACACACACACACACACACACACAGAGAGAGAGAGAGAGAGAGAGAGAGAGAGAGAGAGAGAGAGAGAGAGAGCAGTAGCAAAACAGAAGCATTGCGAATCACTTTGGGCTGCAGTTTAATGCGTGCCTGCCCCATTGAATTTAACGACCATTACTTCTGGGTATGTATAAGGTTACACTGTTAACCTGTCAGCTCCTACTTAGAAATCAGGCAGCAGCAGAAGACTCTTGTATACATTCCAATGTTTTTGAATACAAAATTGCTACTGGAAAGAGGAGGTAGAGGAATATAGAGCCACATGTGCATACTTTACAATTACTATGCTATTTGCACAGTATACATAGTTATACTAGAGAAATCATAGCAGGTGATTTGGACTGGGCTGCTGGTCCATGGCTGCCAGTTGTTCCTGGTGGCAGACACCAAAATATGTGTTAAGTGCTGCAGTGCAGAGATATGTGAAGCTGAGCATTGTTACAAGTCTGTAGGGATGAGCAGCTTGTGGCCTCACACAACCCACTGCCTAACCTGAAAAGCCCTTTGCATGTAGACCTTTGGCAGAAGTGCTCTCTTGCTCTCACTCTCCCCGTGACAAGCCATAGTGCAGGAAAGAAGAGCAAGAGAATGAGAAAAGAGGGTGCCAGAAAGAGAAAAGGGATGATGGGCTGACTTTTGCTGTGGCCCACTTACAGATCACCCCAGAGGAAATGTGGCCTTCAAAAGAAATAAAGTTTCCCTCCTATTTGGAGTATCACCCATGCAAGCATTTGCTCTGTGAATAGAAATTGCCATTCTAATGTGTGGATTATGCAAAAAGCCTTGTGGCATGAAGAGAGGTCTAAGAGGTGAAGGCCCTTCTTATCTGTAGCTGCCGTTTGTCTCCCCTTCATTTCCCACCACAGACATCCT